TGCTCCAGACAGGGTGAGACCAGTGGAGTATCTTAGATGACCGCTCATAAACTTTTAAGACCCCAGACGCTACTCACCATGTAGATTTATGCTTAGGAAATGTGAATGCCTCTTAATGTGAATAGTTCACATAACCTGAGAAATATATATTTACTCCCATCCCTTCTCCTTCCATCAAGCAGAGCATCTTCCTAATTTTTTCTGGGTATCAGGAGTCTCTCTTTCCTCCTTAGAGAGCTGCAGGCCCAGTAGCCTGGATCTAAGATGAAGTATGAACGGACTTGCTTGTAGAAGAATGAGGAAGCCATTCTTAGGTGCTATCTGAGGCTGAGGGAGGTGGTAGGAGTCATGCTGTTGGTTTCTGTGCCTAAAGAAGTGAATGAGCCCGGGAATTTAGACTGAAGAAGTGGACTACCAGCATATCTCTCTCTCCTGACACTTCACTGCAACACACACACACACACACACACACACACACACACACACACACCACTTGAGCAATAAAATATTTGCTGGGGATGGGAATAAAGGGATATCTAAGTCCTTAGGTATATAATACTTAGGCATATCAATGCTACTAGGAGGAAAAAAAAAACCAGTGATGTTTGTAATTATCCAAGAAATTAGGTATCACTATTTCCTTCCTTTTGCTAGTGGGTATAACAGTGTGGATTTATTCTGCGCTTCTATAAAATCACTCAAGATGATCATGTTGCCTAACTCCCTGGAGAAATTTCAGACATCCTGGGTCCTCCACCACCTCTATTCTCCTGTGATCCCCTTCTGGACCTAGCTGTTGCTATCTGTGGGAGGCCCAAAGAACCTTATTGGACCTGTATGTTCCTTCCGATCAAGAAGCTCACTGACAAGCCAAGCAAGTCCAGTCTTTGAGCAAGCCCAACGGAAGGACTAGGAACCAAAACCTTCGCTGCCATTCCTTTGCCCCTTGAAAGCATTTCTATTCCTAAAGCACCTAGTCCAGTGCTGCGTGACAGAGCAGACCATGGGGCTGCTGGCCAGAGGGGTAGGAAACGGGTTATTTATACAGAGGTGACCTTTCTTCCTCTCCCTTGGGTTTCAGGTTTCTCTGGGTCCTTTCTTCTTATCTAGGGAAGAGGAGGAGGGGAAAACATCAGAGCTTAAGAGGGGCTGAGAGAAGCAGCAGCCTCATACCAACCACCAACTTGGAACTGCATGCCGGGCCAAACTGATACTTTCTGCTGATCTGTACTTGGCAAAGTTGAAGCAATGCTTTGAAAGGGAAGGTTCCAGAAGGAAATCTGAGGGACCACACAGGCAGCTATTGCTGAAGCCCCCAAGCCAACCAAGTAGCCATGAATATTCCCAAGGGTTCCACATGAGAATCCATCACACAGGTGGCTCTGGAGTTGAACTGGAGTGGAGGGTGGTCTAGCAGGACATGAAGAGCAAAAAAGGGTTTAGGCAAGAAAGGTAAGCCCTGTGCTTCTCGGGAGCCATTCTTCCCATTCCATTTTCCCATTCCACTCCAGAAGGGAAGGGACCTGTTAGCAACCTGATGAATTCAGGAACGGTCTGGTGAGGCGAGTTTAATTACGGACTGCTCAGTGTAAGTGAATTCCCAGCAAGGTTTAAAGAGGAGAGGGGAATCATCAGCTCTCCATTCTCCTAAAATGTTAATAAACACCTCCAGATCAGGAACAGAGGGGCTTAGAGAGCTAACAATAGTATCCACAGGAATCCTGGGGCTGGATCCTCAAACACATCCATCTCCACAGTGGAAACTTAACTTGACAGCAAGGCACATGGAAACTTGTATGGAGGAAATCTGGTGATGGTGGGGGTTGGGGGATACCCTGCAGGGAAAGAATTCAGCCCTTTGGCACTCACTGTTTATCCCTAAGGAGCCAAGGCCCTGGGACGCCAGGCATTCCCCTGCAGGCCAAGGAGTTGGGTGACCTTTCTGAGGACTGGGCAGGAGTGGAAAGAGGCCAACAGCAGTTAACGGTGCCATAGTGGATCTTCTGGGGCAGCCAAAGAGATTACATTTTTGAAAAGGAAGACATTCAACCTCTCCAGCTCATACTCATCCTCTCCTTTCCTCACATTTTCAATCTCTCATGTTAAAACCTCTTCATCCTGGAAAAGATTAGTCTGAAGGACTAATGGACCACAGCTACCAAGGCCTCCACCAGACTGAGTCCAGTACAGCTAGATGGTGCCTGGTTACCACCACTGACTGCTCTGACCAGGATCACAACAGAGGGTTCTGGACAGAGCTGGAGAAGGATGTAGAACAAAATTCTAAAAACACCACAAAAAAAAGACCAGATTTACTGGCCTAAAGGAGACTGGAGAAACCCCGAGAGTATGGCCCCCAGACACCCTTTTAGCTCAGTGGTAAAGTCATTTCCGAGGTTCACCGTTCAGCTGGGGGGTGGACAGCCCCATAAAACCAAATGGGACTAATGAGGCACAGCAGTCCAGGGACAAGGGCCAGAAGGCAGAAGGGGACAGAAAAGCTGGTGATAGGGAACCCAAGGTTGAGTAAGGATAGTGTTGATGTGTTGTGAGGTTGTTAACCATTGTCATAGGGCAACATGTGTACTAACTGTTAAATGAGAAACTATTTTGTTCTGTAAGCCTTTATCTAAAGTGAGAACAGCAGCACAATTGGAAGAGCGTAGTTGATGTCACTGAACTGTGCACGTAGAAATTTTTGAAATGGTGTATCTTTGGCTATGTATATGTTCTACAAAAAAAAAAAGTCAAGAAGGGAGAGGGTTGACACGTTGTGGGGTTGTTAACCAGTGTCATAAAACAATATGTGTACTACTGTTTCATGAAAAACTATTCGTTCTGTAAGCCTTCACCTTAAGTACAATAAAAGAATATATATATATAAAAAAAACAAACCAGTTCCTTTTGAGTCAATTCTGACTCATGGTGATCCTGTGCGTCAGAGTAGAACTGTGCTCCATAGGGTTTTCAATGCTGATGTTTTACAAGTAGATAGCTAGGGCTTTCTTGAGTTGTCTCTGTGTGGACTTTAAACTCCAGTCTCTCAGCAGCTGAACTCGTTAATCATTTGCACCACCCAGGGACTCCAGTGTATTGATAGGGGGGATTATAATGATTTACTGTCAAATTTTGAACCAACCTTGCATTCCTGGGTTAGTGCCTATTTGGTCATCATTATATATTGCTGGATTTAATTTGTTAACTTTTGTTTAAGAATTTTCGCATTTATTTCAAGAGGTATATTGGTATATAATTTTCTTTTCTTATAATGTAATTGTCTGATTTGAGTGCCATGGAAATGCTAGTCTCATACATGATTTGCAAAGTGCTCCTTCCTCCTCTGTTTCCCGAAAGAGTTTGTGCTGAATTAGTATTAGCTTTGTTTTCTTAAAGTTTTATATAATTCATCAGTAAAGCCATTTGGCCTAAAAAGAAAAAAAAAAAAAAAACCTCTTCATTCTCCTTTTTCTCTTCTTCTTACTACCAACTGGGCATTGGTAGTTCAGCCGTAGAATTCTCGCCTTCCATGCAGGAGACCCAGGTTCAATTCCTGGCCAATGTACCTCACATGCAGCCACTACCCGTCTGTCAGTGAAGGCTTGCATGTTGTCATGATGCTGAACAGGTTTCAGCAGAGCTTCCAGACTAAGACAGACTAGGAAAAAAGGCAGAACGATCTACTTCTGAAAATCAGCCAGTGAAAACCCTATGGATCACAACAGTTCACAACTGATCATGGGAATGGCGCAGGAATGGGCAGCATTTTGTTTCGTTTGTGCAGAGGCTGACTCGAAGGCAGCTAATAACTATCACTACCAAACTTTTTAAAAAACCTGACCTTTTTCTGCTGCTTTCACTTCCTAACCATCCATCTCTCCCCCTTGAAACCGCTGGACACCTACACTATTCATCACCAAGCCTGGGTTTTCGAAGACACCTAGTGGGCTTTAGTTTTAGGCTTTTCCCTAGCTTCAATTCCATCTTCCTCCTGCTGCCACTCTCATCTTCCTCGGACATCACTCTTATTATACCTTTCTTCTACTCAAAAACCTGCAATGATTGTTCCCTCCTGAATCAAGACTAAACTTTGAAGAACCTTCATAATATGTTCTCCACTCTACTGATTTGTTTTTAGCAATCCTTCTAAGGTTCTTAGCTGTTTTATTTAAATCTTCTTTGTCCAGCTAGAACCTAGCCACTAGATTATAAGCATCTGGAGAGCAAAGGCCAAGTGTTTAGAGGTTTTGAAGTGACACACAAGCCAAGTTATACCATGGTACTCTTTTATCTGGCCTCACAGATAAAGATTCTTGGGCACTGAGCATGTGACAATCCTTTCTACACCTAAGGGAAAAGATAGACTTGATAAATGGTCACTAGAAGAGCATGATACTGCAAATCTTATGCCATTCCTTGCCCAAGAAGCAATTCACCAGTTACAAGGGGAGAAATGAAAGCATGAAACGTTCTGCAAAATCTTTTGTCTTGCTCTGTCATGAGAAATTTTACATGCTTGCTACTTTGTAAAATTATTAGAACACTGCTTTTCAAACCTGGCTGCGTATTTAGAATTATCTGAGGAGCTTTTACAAAATATTGATGCCTAGGTCCCCTTTCCAGATCTAATTGGTGTGGTGAGGGGTCCAGGCATTGACATTTTCAGACTCCTCTAGTTGATTTTAATGAATAGCCAGGTTAAAGATTCACTGGCTTAAAGGAGAGTGTTGTGTTTTGGGAGGGATGGTGAAGGCAGTGTTTACAGACCCTTCCTAATCAGGTGACCAAAACGCACTCCCCAATACAAAATTCTTTCGTCTCCTCCAGATAAACCTTTTTGGATTCTTTCATGCCTTTTTGTCACTGACACGTTAGTGCCAGCAAGCTCCACTTCTATATAACAGTTAATGTATCTCTAAGAGTTATCTACTCCAGGCTGGCCCTAGAGACAAGAGCTAATCATTCCCCCCTTTTCCCTGGCCCTTTCTTCCCTTGCTCTACAGAGAACGGCTGCCTGTCAACTTTTTTAAGTTCCAGTTCCGGAATGTGGAGTACAGTTCCGGACGGAACAAGACCTTCCTCTGCTATGTGGTTGAAGTGCAGGGCAAGGGAGGCCAAGTCCAGGCATCACGGGGATACCTAGAGGACGAGCATGCAGCTGCCCATGCCGAGGAAGCCTTCTTCAACACCATCCTGCCAGCCTTCGACCCGGGCCTGCGGTACAACGTCACCTGGTATGTGTCCTCCAGCCCCTGTGCAGCTTGTGCTGATCGCATTATCAAAACCCTTAGCAAGACCAAGAACCTGCGCCTGCTTATTCTGGTGGGGCGGCTCTTCATGTGGGAGGAGCCGGAGATCCAGGCTGCTCTGAAGAAGCTGAAGGAGGCTGGCTGCAAACTGCGCATCATGAAGCCCCAGGACTTCGAGTATGTCTGGCAGAATTTTGTAGAGCAAGAAGAGGGCCAGTCCAAGGCCTTTGAGCCCTGGGAGGACATTCAGGAGAACTTCCAATACTACGAGGAGAAGTTGGCAGACATCCTGAAGTAGGCCACTGGGCTCCGTCTCACGTGAGTTTTCCTGGTGCCATGGCACAGTCACTTTATTAACTGGTAACTTGGGTAGAAGGCTTGAAGCCAGGTGGAACAGATAGTATAATGTTTTGATCCTCCTTTGGAAGGATTTAATTCCTCTGCTTTTACTGGTTATAAAAACATTTTTAGAACACCCTGTCTCAGTTTTCTTTCCTCTGAATACCTCTCCTAAACCTTTTTCCCTTCTATACTTTTAAGTGAAACTAACTTTTCCCGTAACTTGGAATACTCAAGGTTGGCAGGGATCATAAAGCCTTGATAAGACGGAATGACTCTTTCTGTAGTAAGATCGTTGTTGTTGTGTGTCATTGAGTCGATTTCGACTCATAGCGACCCTACAGGACAGAGTAGAACTGCCCACAGGGTTTCCAAGGCTGTAATCTTTATGGACACAGACTGCCACATATCTTTCTCTCGCGTACTGGCTGGTGGGTTCGAACCTCTGACCTTTCAGTTAGCAGCCGAGCTGTTAACCACCTCGTCACCAGTAAGATTAGATAGTACAAAGACCTGTTATTGAACAACAACAGAGAAGATGTTTGTCTTAGTCATTTAGTGCTGCTATAACAGAAACACCACAAGTGGATGGCTTTAACAAAGGGAAGTTTATTCTCTCGCAGTCCAGAAAACTCCCCGGTCTGGGAGCTTCTCTTTGCACAAACCTCTGCTCTCGGCACTGCTTTCTTGGTGGTATGAGGTTCCCATGTCTCTGCTCGCTTCTTTTATATCTCAAAAGAGACTGGCTTAAGACAATATCTAATCTTGTAGACCTCATCAATGTAACTGCCACTAATCCATCTTATTACATCATAGGGATAGGATTTACAACACATAGGGAAATCACATCAGATTACAAAATGGTAGACAATCATGTAATACTGGGAATCACGACCTAGCCAAGTTGATATTTTGGGGGGACACAATTCAATCCACGACAATATTTAAATCCCCTATGCACACGATGTACGTGTCCAGACTTACTAACTCTGTACACCTTCTAGATGCCTTACTCCCACCCTCATTTGCAATCTTACCATTCCATTTTTCTCTACTGAAGGTTTCTTATTCCCTCAGAATCAATTTTTTCATTTTTAGTAATTTTGCAATTCCCCAAATGGATATGTATTCAAGTTTTTCTTTTCTTTTTTGCTTTGGTCCAGAGAAACTTTCATGTTTTTAAACAAATGATTATGCACTGAAGGAGACTGATAATTGCTGTGTGAAAAAGTATCATTCAAGAACATTTTCCTTATGTTGAGAAGATCTCAGCACAAACCTAAGGGAAATGCTGAATGAAGGAATGGGAATAATACAGCAATAAACTATTTTATGCAGGAATCTTTAAAGGGTTAAAAAGATGTTTGTAAATTAGGCAGCAGCTCAGAAGTCACCGCCTACAGATATCAAGAGGTGATAGGAGAACTGGAAGTAAAGATTAGCTATTTAAGCAAATAATTAGGACGCAATTAAGGCCAATTTGGCCTCTTGCTGAGGGTAAATTAGACTTACAGAAACAGGCCGATTATGCTCAGGAAACAGCTTTTTTTATATTTGGTCTGCTCTAGTTGCTCCTGTAGAAATGTTATGACTAACCCCTTTGCAAGGCCCAAGTTACTGATCAAAATTCTCCTCCACCACCCTCTTAGAATCCTTAAATGAGGGCATGCACACAGGGCACCTGGTAATTCTCAGGCTGAGCATTTGCCAATCCATGAAGCCACGATTTCCAGCCAGTTCTTACAAAAGGCAGGACACATTCATTAAATTCAGTGAGACTATGGTAAGGTAATGCCATGAGGGTACCCTGCTCACGTAAGACACCATTCTGAGTGTGGGTGGGTAGTAGTAAAGACAGACTTCTGAGGGTGACCGCTGAAAATATGAAACTTTAAAAATCCCTTGAAAATTTTGTTAGTATAGGTACCATCACTGTAATTATACATAGATTCTACAAAGAGCCCTGGTGGCCCAGTGGTTAAGCGTCCGACTGCTAACCAAAAGGTTGGCAGTCCAAACCCACCAGCTGCTGTGTGGAAGAAAGATGTGGCAGTCTGCTTCCGTAAAGATTACAGCCTAGAAACCCTATGGGGCAGTTCTACTTTGTACTACAGAATCACTATGAGTTAGAATCGACTTAAAGGCAACAGGATACTTTCTTCTCAAACATCTTTCAGAGTCACGAGCCACTTCTTCCAGCTGTCTTACCGGCAAGTCCTCAAGGATTTTTTGGTTTTCCTTTTTCCCATTAAGCCAAATAATTAGGAAGCTAAAACTGCTATAAAAATTGAGCATTTGAGTAAGGAGATTAAAAATATCTTTTAATTTTGAATAATTGAGGGTCTTATCTATCTTATACTAATCTAAACAGAAGTAAAAAAGACAAATCACTCTGAGGGGAAATTCCATTTCTAAATCAAATTACTTTTAAATACAGTGAATTATTTATTATTGGGCATTTTCCACATTACAAGCCTCCTTCCACTAGTGAACATAACTGTAGTAGCTGAGTCCATTAACATGCTTCCCTGTCCTCTACTTAAGTTGGTCATGTTCCCGAAGGGAAAGGTTAAAATGTACCGAAATAAAAATTAAATTAAATTAAAAAATTGGCAAGAACAACCCTGCTTAATTAAAATACACCCAAGAAATGAGTATTTGTTAAATAAAATTTGCCTCATACTTGTTGATCTATCTTTTTAAAAAAGAGGACAGAACAAGATTTAACCATATACTTAAGAGCACAGTTAAAGCAGATCTCTTCCATGGTATTCTCTGTGTGACCTACCCCAAAATATGAACGAAAGAAACAGATTCAATCATGGATAAGCCAGAAATCATAGGATACTATGGGGTTAAAATTCAAGGACTTATTGGGGAAAACAGAGAGACACCCTAGCTTAAAATGAAACTCTTGTTTGAGGCCAGCAGGGCTCTGGGTAACATTCTTTCTGTTTCCTCACTAAGGTCTGCCTGCTGCCACCAAGAGACAGCCGTGACATGTTATGGCCATCTGGGACATACCTGTCTTCCTAATACCACTTGGAGCCAGACAACATTCAACACCAGCCAATCCAACTGGACAAGGCCTTCAGAGGACTCAAAATACACTTCTCATGCTGTAATTCACTTAGGCTGTGCTTCTTTCTATAAGGCTGCTCTTAGGGGTGGAGGAAAGTGAGCTGCAAGGAAAGAAATGGCAACCATATATGGGCAGCAGGCCATCGTGGGGCTGAAGGTCCTAATTACTCCTCAAGAGGGGCTGCTTAATGCAAACAGCCTCAGACCCAACGTGCAGCTCTTTGCAATACATCTAAAAATGAATTTTATGTTGTTTTTTAAGAAAGAAAAACAGCAGTATTAATAAAAGAACTGGTGTGTTTTCTGTGGCCAAGTTTTTTAAGAAACTTCGATATTTGGGAGTTACCATGGATGGTGAACAAACCCAGAAACCAAGCCATAACATTTTAAAGTGGTTTGGTTACGACTAACTAAATCAGGACTTGCTCTCAGCAATGCAGGATACCACCCCTCCCATGCAGCCTTCCCACCGTGCTCTTGACCTTCACAAAATACTTTCTTCTGAGATTACTTGTAAATGAGGGCCTCTTCCCTTTTATGAAAACAAGAAATATGGTAGAGGGTGAAAAAAAGACAAGGGACTTCTGTTTTATAAGGTATCCATATCCCTATTATTAGTTAATAAGTAATTTAATTAGCTTCCTGGGTAAAGAGAAGAGGGTGAGAAGCAGGGAGGTATCAATATTCAAATGTAGATCATGAAAGAGCATTCAATTTGTGGTACTTGATGGTGATGGCAAGGTGATGTCAAAATAAAAGGTCTGTCTGATTCCTATGTAGAAACACATTTTCACATGTGAATTTCTGGGTGTTTGCCAAGCTCTAACTAGGTTTCCAGGAAAAATGTGTTCATTCTGATAATCAGGCCATGCCGCCTTTCCTCAGGCTTCAAGTGTGATAAGTCATTGGAATTTGACCCCAAGACTATCTGTGAATGACAAAGCATGTTACCACAACACTGCTGAGACCTAGAATTCCACTTACAGCCAATCCTGGATGAGTTTTGTTAAAACAATCATCAAAGCTCATACTCTGAAAAAAATTAACCCTAATCCTTCTAAAAGCATAGGAAGTCTAAAAAGTCACTATTTTGACCCAGACTGATTGGCACACAGCTAAGTGGTTATAAATTCAGCTGCTAACCAAAAGGTCAGCAGTTCGAATCCATCAGCTCCTCCTTGAAAATCCTACAGGGCAGTTCTACTCTGTCCTATAGGGTCGCTATGAGTTGGAATCGACTCAATGGCAGTGGGTTTTAAGCAAAATACTTTCAAGTTTCCTCTTATAACCCTACTCTCATTTTCAGTTTTGTGTATTTGGACATTCTCTCCCTTTTTTTTTCTCTTCAATTTTATTGTATGTATGTGGGCAGAAGCAAAGCTTCAAGATAAGCCTCAAAGTTTGCTAATGAATTTACCCTTGCACTGCCCATACCCCAACACAGAGAACTTCTGCTCCACCTGGAGGTACAAAAGAAGTGACATACTTTTTGAAACTGCTGCCTCCTATCAGGCTGAAATGTGATAAGAACACTCGTCTAAAGTACAAAGATTATATTTAACCAGTGCTTTCCTGGTGTTTCAACAGACCCCTTTTAAAATCCAGTTGTTGTTTTATACTTGGGGAAGCAGGAAGCCTTGTGACAGGCTCAGAATTCACTCTAGGGAGAAAATCAGTAACAAGTCTGGCTGTTTTAACTCTCACCATCATAGTATTGGGGACAGCGGGGGACTTCTAGTTTTCCCAATGGCCCTGACACTGAACCACTGTGCTAAATCCATAAGCTTTATTCTCCCACCATGACAACAAGGGTGGACACAGTGCTGCTCTCTTAGGATAGGAAGAAAAGGGGACTAATCTTTACTGCAGTGTACTTGAGTCCAGCTAGCTGCTCATCAGAATCTTCTAGGAGCTTAAAAACACAAATAAACCTGCACCACCACCCCCTCCAGACAAATCAAATTACGTTGTTTTTGGGAAGAAGGGGGTGGGCCTTTATTTTTTTTTTTAAAGAAGACTCACATGAATTTTGTTGAGAACCACCGATTTAACGAGTCACTACTCTGTGCAGAGCACTCTGTTAGGCATTTAACATACATTATTTCATTTGTTTCATGATTGAATTCAGACACATTCCATCACAGAAAGTAGGCAGTGGACATAAGAGAGGAAGAGTTCATCATAGGAGATTCTAAAAACCTTCTATTCCAGTATGTTGACTCATAATTTTTGTCCACTCTTATTTCTCCCGTTGTTCTTTCCACTGTGTCCTGTTCTGACTCTTTGAAATTAAGTTACAGGTGAACGTTATATGCAAGTCCAAACCAATAAAGATACAAGCACAAAACCTCATAGGACCCCAAGAAAAAGGTATTTATTTTTCCATTTTTTTCACTACAAATTCCTTGTTAACAAGGTAGAACTCAAAATTTTGTAATGAAAACAAAAGCAAAGTAACCCAATGAGACAAAACAACCAAAAAAATACAAAGCAACCCATAATTCTCTCCTAGGGTGAATCTGATAATCTAAGGAAAACACCACGTAAGTGTACAAATGACAAAAGACACCAAATTATTCGAAATGTCTTCATCCTCCCTTCAATGGCTCTTAAAAAGCAGAGAATTCAAATCAATGGTGCCACCTAGTGGCCAGCCAAACCAGGTAGCATACTGGAGCAAAAAAGTGGAGGTCACAGGCCCAACTATCTGGTTACCCTGCTTAATACAGGCCATCTACTCCCTACCTTGTGGCAAAAAAAAAAAAAAAAAACAGCAACATATCCCAAACAACCCCTCCTCCAGAGTTGCAGTCCAATCATCATCAGCCTATGAGAAAACTACTTCACATGAAACTTTCCTCTGCCCATTTTAGTGTTGGCTTGCCTAGTCCTATGGCCCAGCAAGGATGACACAGAAGAACACAGACACATCCAAAATGCTCATCTGTTCAGAGTGTGTACACAGTAATTTTGATGTCTGTTGCCTCAAATACCTCCTCAATCATTGTGGATACATTCTCCCATTGCAGGCGATCAAGACCACATCCAATCCTGAAAAAGATAAAACATCTACATTGGTTGTGATGAAGGTACCTAGTAAATTGCTCCTTCCCTATTCCTTTAGGCTGTATCCACCCAAAGCACAAGACAAGTTTTCTGGTCTTTACACCTGTAGGCAGCCATGGTGGGAGCGTAGAAACCAACTCTTGTGAGTCTCCCAAGGCTGTTCCTAGACAGCTCTGGTGTCCAATAGCTATCACTTCCCTTTTGCCTCATAAAGTCCCACTTACCAATTATTTCATGCTACACTTAGACATGTATAACTCTGCCATGTCACAAGATACTCACCATCCCTCTATGCTTACTGATGAAGACTAACTGTAGATGGGATGAGAGAAGGTTGACATTTAAAAAATACACTTATGATAACAGAATGTTAGAGAAGGTAAAAAGAAGAGGAACAAAGGGCAGATCTCTGCAATAAGGAAGTCAAGCTGGAATGTAGGGAAAGATGGAAAGTCAGGTCTCTGCAACATCCTGGTGGGAAGCCTCAATCAGTACACAAATCTCTACTACCTGGTACCTTTCTACCAAGATATTAAACTTTATTGATCTTCAACACTCCTAGGGGCAAAAGAGAGGCTTAAAATTGCCAACTTCATATCATAACGTGATGATTAAGTCCCTGAAGAACTGTGATTTTTAAAGAAGTTTCTGATACATAAGCCGTAACTATATCTAAGACTAATGCGAGAGGCAGAGTCAAGATGGTGGAGTAGTCAGATGCTTCCTGTGGTCCCTCTTACAACAAAGACTCAAATAAACAAGTGAATCGACTATTATGACAATCTAGAAGCTCTGAACATCAAAGGCAAAGTTAAGGAATCAGTCTGAGTGGCAGGGGGAGGGACAGATGGTTCAGAAGCAGCGAGGAGCTGTCATACCTGACCTGGTGGGAGTTGGCACCATTCAGGCCAGATTGGCTAGCATGCACGGTGAAGCAAGCAGCGGCGCTTAGGAGGTGTTTTCCACATCAGGAGAGACCGAGTGGCAGTGTGTCTACACAGGCCTCCAGAACCAGTGAAAAGTAGTGTGCAATCAGCAAAAGATAAGCACATGCGTCTAACCTACCACGTGGATCAAAAAACACCCACTTTCAGAAAAACCTCTCTCCTATTTACCCTCCCTGCTCCGCACCTGGTCCTGGGTGGGCCAGCTTCAGTGATTGCCTGATTGCGAGTTCCCTGGGCCAGAAGTAAAACCTGTCATGCGCCCTGAGCCATTCTCCCGGCCTTGGAAAGGGAAATTAACAAACAGGAATAAATAATCTGCCACCTCCCCAAAGCCAAGAACTCAGCGTAGGCACAGCTCCTTTGCCCAGGCACAGGCATAAGGAGTCCAAAGACTTTGAATGCCTTTCACCTCTGCATAGACCTGTGTGGGTCCATTTCAACAGCGTAGGCCTGATTACCACAGTACAACAGGGTATATACCTGAACCCTGACTTCAACTGTATCAGCTATATGCTGAAACGGTAGGTTCATGACATTTGACGCTGCTCTGCCCAATAAGCAGGGTCCTCACCTACCCCCTCAGGGGCCTGAGGACTGGTGACTCCACCCATGTCACCTAGCCACCTGCAAAAGGGGTTCAAGAATAAGTGGTGCCTCCCAGTCCTTACAGCCGACAGCACCAGGTGCCCAAAGTCTGGCTGCAAAACCCACCCACCTACGAGCTCTAGTGAACAGGGACATGCTTTCCTCCCAGACACTCAGGGGGAGCCATCAGCCCCCTGCCTTGCTCAATGCGTGACTGCCCTACTGCAGCCAGATACCTGTACCTACGCCAGTCACCCCTGCCTGTCTAGGACTGTAGGTGAGTGCCTGCACCACACACTTGGTGACAGACTACCTGGACACCTGTCTTAGTCATCTAGTGCTGCTCTAACAGAAAATACCACAAGTGGATGGCTTTAACAAAGAGAAATTTATTCTCTCAGTCCAGTAGGCTACAAGTCCAAATTGAGGGCATCAGCCCCAAGGGAATGCTTTCTCTGTCAGCTCTGGAGGAAGGTCTGTGTCAGCAAACTTCCCTTGTCTGGAAGGTCCTTGCGATGCATCAGTCTTCCCTTGGTCTGGGAGCATCTCAGCGCAGGAACCTCAGGTCCAAAGGACACGCTCTGCTCCCGGCACTGCCTTCTTAGTGGTATGAGGTTCCCATGTGTCTCTGCTCGATTTTCTCTTTTATATCTCAAAAGAGATTGGATTAAGACGCTATCTAATCTTGTAAAACTCATCAGTATAACCTCATCACAGTGACAGAATTTACAACACATAAGAAGATCACATATAACCTCATTATAGTGATAGAGTTTACAACACATAAGGAAATCACATCCGATTACACAATCATACAGTACTGCGAAACATGATGCAGCCAAGCTGACAAATATTTTTGGGGGACACAATTCAATCCATGACAACACCTGAGCTGAATCCATATAAAAAAAGTAAACAGACTCCTGGGCCTACATACCTAGTAACAAATCTAACCACCTTGTGATAGGACGTTAGCTTCAAAGACACCCATAATCAAACTAGCTCACACAAGCAGCCTATTTGGCATATCAAAACAAAACAAAAGAAAAACCTAGGACATAGTAAGCCAACATAAAATAAAGAAATATAATAACTTATTGATGGCTCAGAGACAACAGTCAATATCAAATCCCATAAAGAGGCAGATTATGATGGCTTCAGCAAGCTCCCAAAACAAAGGATCAAGAAATTTTCCAGAGGAAGAGAACTTCTTGGAATTACCAGAAGTAAAATACAAAAGATTAATCTACAGAACTCTTCAAGAGATCAGGCAAAACGCAGAACAAGCCAAGAACATACAGACAGAGCAATAGAGGAACTTAAGAACATTAGAGAAGAGCATAATAACAAATTTAACAGGCTGCAAAAATCCATAGAGAGACAGCAACCAGAAATTCAGAAGATTAATAATGAAATTTCAGAATCAGACAACTTAACAGAAAGTCATAGCAGCAGAATTAAGGCAATGGAAGTCAGAATTAGTGAGACTGAAAATACAGCACTTGACACCAAATTATCTGAGAAAAAAATCAGATAAAAGAATTTAAAAAAATGAAGAAACCTAAGAATTATGAGGGACTCTATCAAGAGTGACTGGAGTACCAGAACAGGGGAGGATAACAGAAAACGCAGAGAGATTTGCTGAAGATTTGTTGGCAGAAAACTTCCCTGATATCGTAAAAAATGAGAAAATATCTAAGATGCTCATTGTACCCCACATAAGGAAGATCCCAAAAGAAAGGCACCAAGACATATACTCAAACTTGCCAAAACCAAAGATAAAGAGAGAATTTTAAGAACAGCTAAGAATAAACGAAAAGTCACCCACAAAGAAGAGTCAATAAGACTAAGTTCGGACTACTCAGCAGAAACCACGCAGGCAAGAAGGCAATGGGATGACATATATAAAGCATTGAAGGAAAAAAACTGCCTGCCAAGAATTATTTATCCAGCAAAACTGTCTCTGAAAGATGATGGCAAAATTAGGGCATTTCCAGATAAACACAAGTTTAGGGAATTTGCAAAAACCAAACCAAAATTACAAGAAATACTAAAGGGAGTTCTCTGGTTAGAAAATCAGTAACATCAGATAACAACCCAAGAGTAGAACATAGGACAGAGCAACCAGATATCAACCCAGACAAGGAAGTCACAAAAGTAAATCAAAGCTAAAACACCGAAAATAGGGAAACATCTACATCAATATGTAGATGATGACAACATTAAAACAAAAAAGGACTAAAAAATGTAGTCATAAATCTTTCATATAGAGAGGAAGTCAAGACGATCCAAAGAAATAAAACACTGGTTTAAATTTAGAAAAAAGGAGTAAATATTAAGGCAACCACAAACGAAACTAATAATCCTACAAACCAAAATAAAAACAAGAAAAACATAGAGACTCAACAAATACAAAATCAACAAAAATGAAAAAGGTGAAAAGAAAATACACAAAGAAAAATGACTCAGCACAGAAAATAAAGTGGAACAAAGAAACTGTCAACAACACACAAAAAAAAGACATCAAAATGACGGTACTGAACTCATACCTATCAATAATTACACTGAATGTAAATGGACTAAATGCACCAATAAAGAGACAGAGAGTGGCAGAATGGATAAAAAAACATGAACTGTCTATATGCTGTCTACAAGAGACATACCTTACAGACACAAACAAATTAAAACTCTAAGGATGGTAAAAAAATATTTCAAGCAAATAACACTCAAAAAAGAGCAGGAGTGGCAATATTAATCTCTGACAAAACAGACTTTAAAGTACAATCCACCACAAAGGATAAGGAAGGACGCTATTTAATGATTTAAGGGTCAATACACCAGGAGGACAGAACCATAATAAACAGTTAGGCACCCAACGACAGGGCTCCAAAATATATAAACTCTAACAGCATTGAAAAGAGAGACAGACAGCTCCACAATAATAGAAGACTTCAACACACCACTTTTGCTGAAGGAAAGAACACCCAGAAAGAAGTTCAATAAAGACACGGAAGACCTAAATGTCACAATCAACCAACTTGATCTCACTGACATATACCGAACACTCCACCCAACAGCAGCCGAGTATACTTTCTTTCCACCGCACATGGAACATTCTCCAGAAGAGACCACACATTAGGTCACAAAGCAAGCCTTAACAGAATCCAAAGCTTCTAAATATTACAAAGCATCTTTTCTGACCATAAAGCCATAAAAGTAGAAATCAGTAACAGAAAAAGTAAGGAAAAAAATCAAACACATGAAAACTAAACAAAACCTTGCTCAAAAACTACCGGGTTACAGAAGAAATTAAGGATGGAATAAAGAAATTCACCGAATCAAAGGAGAATAAAAACACATCCTACCAGAACCTTTGGGACACAGCACAGCAGAGGTCAGTTTATAGCAATAAATGCATACATACAAAAAGAAGAGAAGGCCAAAATCAAAACA